CCTTCAGGTCCTGGAAGGCCACAATTAGGTCACCCCAAAGCCTTCTCTTCTCCAGGTTGAACAATCACAGCTCTCTCAGCCTTTCAAACTTAATTGCTCAGTCTCACCAAGAGTATTTGCTGTACAAATATCTGATAACCCACAGCCATTACTGCACCAAAGAGGAATGTGATTTAACAGCTGGCTCTTACCTGTCTGCACCAGCTGTAAGATTGCCCAGCGTCCCACAGTGAGCACAAAATTCCCTCATACTTCCAGGTGTTAGAGCTCAACAAATTATACTTTTAATTATTCCTACACAGGCTTCATTCTCCATATTCAGTTTTAAAAGAACAGGCATTCCCACCTTGTGACTGAATTCGCTCTTCTTTCCTGCTCTGCCAAACTCCAAGGAGCCCAGAGCAGAGGAATCTGGTTATCTTCAACTCTCAGAAACAACAACTGCCTTTTAAACAATGCAGGGCAATGCTCTTGTCTGGGGAGCTGCTAACAGAAGCTTTCCTTCTCACACAGGACTCAGCACGCTCAAAATTAGTGACATTTTAAGTGGAACAATTCTTTCATCATCGGGCTGATATTTGGCTGCCATTCTGGTTCCCTCCCTTATAAGGCACCAGCAAGAGGGAAGGGCAGGGAGCACATTATGCAACTGCTCATTGTAAAATGTAATTAAAACAAATTTTAAGAAATAAGTCTGGAATAAACACTTTTCCAATGTAAAAAGCAAGACAAAAGGAGCTTGATGTTGTTGGTCTATGCCTGCTGTTTCTGCCTGGCTAATTTTTAAAAAGGGAATTTCCTGAAAGGAAAGGTTTTTTCTCAGTTTTTATGGGAAGAGGCCACATGTGCCCTTTGTGGGGGTTCCCAGTGATCCTGAAGGAAGCTCATGGTAGAGCATAAGTGTCCTAGTGAAGTGTTCTCACTCTGCTGCACCACAGACAGTGACAGGGAGCCTTGGACAACCAGGAGAGGCCCCCCAGGCACACACAGCTCCCCACCTGTAACAAGCTGCTGCTGTCAAGCCCCTTCCCTTTGTTGTTTCTGCCCTTCTCAGAAGTTGCTTTAGGCTGGTCATGTCTTACTGAAGTGATGACTTTCATTCCCTGCTCCCTCAGTTATGGGAATGAGAGTTATGACAGTCATTCCCTCCCCCTTCCATACACTCCTGTCTTTGTAACTCCTGTGGCTCAGCATGACCCAATATCTTCATTTTAACTGCACCCAATTTAAGCCCAACTGTGTTTCTCATGAGAATTATTCTACTCATAAAAAGGGCCTTCAACCAAGTACAACTTTCTGGTAAGGTCCACACTTGACTGAAGTTTTCCAGGTGTTGGTCTGCTTGGTTTTGTTCTACTACAAGGAGGTTTAATTGCTAAAACACCTTGGCACATTTTATAGATGCCTGACTTAATGTGACATCACACTCAGCACTCCAGAGAATTGTTAATAGCTGTCTTTATTACACACAGTAGAAAAAAGGTTTCACAACCTTTTATCTGTTCAGAGATAACAAAAAGGGGTTTTTTTGTGGAAGGAAATTTAAGGAATTCCAACATGCCAAGATCTTTGCTAAGACTGGAGCTCCTCTCCAGCATGTCAGTGACCACAGGCTCAAAGTCTGGAACACAAGAGACACAGCTAATATAAGTTGTAACACAATAAACACCCTTCCTTTCCCATATAGATCCAAGTTATCCCTTTACTTCCTCCCTCTCATTCATTCTGCCACCTCAGATAAACTCCATCTGTTTGCACAATCTGCTAGTGCCAAATTTTTACTTAATATTGTCTGTTCCCTGTTACTAAAAGGTGAAGAGTTGTCTCTCTTTTTACTGCTTCAGGACATTCTCACTCTTGTGAAACCCCATAAACCCAGGCTACCTTTTTAATCAACCACTGCTCCTTTTTACCAATAAAAATATAAAGTCAACTGCTCCTTAGACAATCAAAACCTCACAGGAGATGCCTCCCAAAGACAGTTTATTACATTACAATTCCAAGTCTCTGCTTCCTTCACATTCCAATCAGTTGTAACTCTCATAAAGCCACATGTCAGTAACAAATTGGAAGTTTGTAGGTCTAAATATTAAAGACGTACAACATAAAGTTTGAACTGTAGATTTGGAACCAGAAAGTAAAAGCTGATGCCTAAATTACTGAGAAATTGGAAAATATTTGAAGCCTCAAGATTAATGATTCTCTCCTGATTCACTGTTTCCCTTAGCTTTTTTAATCTCTACAGAGTACTAAGAGAGATATCAATGCAAGCCTCACAAGATTACCTGATTTCCCAAGTAAAAGGCAGTATTAACTGTGACAGCTGCCCATTTTAATGCTTCCCATGCTGATCAAATTATTTATGACAAGAAAAGTAAGTTTTCCTTGATAATTTCTTTATCCCTCTAGTTCCTATTTTGTTTTCTTCATTAAAGAAAAACTTTCTGTTGCTTCCCCGTGCAGAAGCAGTGGGACTGCCAGAAGTTACTCTGTAGTTTTTGACTACAGGATTTTCTGTATCCATCAAAGTATTAAATTTACTCTTCTGCATTTGACAATTAATTTCTAATCCTTCAAGACAGAGTCCCCCATCTTAAACACAGTTCACTACATAAATTCATACCAGGAATTAAGTAACTATTCCCTGAGTTCACATCCCATAACATTAGACTGGGTTTCCCTCAGTGTAACACCTTTTTTTTGTGCAACAAAAGATGTTATTTAATCACCAGACTTCAAAAAATCCTCCATCAACCCATCTTGAAGAATTAGACTTCAGTTATTCATCAAACCCATGTTTTCCAGCCACAGTAATGCTATTACTACTGGTGGCAGGTCTGCTCTAAGTGCAGCTGGATGCTGAATTGAGCAACAAGAGGAGATTAAATTATTTTGTGGACAATTGCATGTTTGATTTATGTCAACTGCCATCACCCTAAGACACATAAAGCCTCTTTCAGGGGGACTAAAAGCAAACCATTTACCATCAGCTTAGCAGGCTTTGTGCTGATGAATGCTGCATTCAGAGGAGCAATTCTGGTCATTGCACATCTACCCTGCATCTCCAGGAACACAAATATCAGAGTTTATCAACTGGCTTCACTTTTTAACCAACCCTCAGCTGAAACTTGGTGGGAAGAAGAACATTTTAATTAGAATAAGCACAGACTGAGAGAAAGCTGAATTTGGAGGGAGAAGACAATAAGAGAAAGCCATTGCCAAGACAGACACAGAGGACAAAATCAGTGACTAAGCTCCCTGTGGTCACTGAAGGATTCAGAAGAGATCTCCAACTGCAGCAGGAACTTAAATGATTAAAAACTTCCACCCACCATTCAACCTTCAGGGGCATAAAGACAGAGGAGGCCACACAGAACTCCTGAGGGAGAACAGGGAAGCAAACCTCACACCCACGTGCACGAGAAGCTGTGGATACACTGAACTCCAGGGTGACATCCCATAGCATTCCAACCCACCGGGGTGGATCAGACCCTGGGGGATCAAAAACCTTACACAAGCAGGTCCACAACAGATCATTTCACAGGAACCCAAAATTTCTGTTCTCCTGGGAACATTCCCTGATCAACAGCACAGGGGCCTGGTCCAAGTGCACTGCATGTTAATGATACAGCGTGGGTTTGTTGTTTGTTTTTTTAAGAAAGACTAACTTTCTGCAAGAAAAAAAAAAAACCCAAACAAACCAGGAAGAAATAAAGCATGACACCTGCCCACTGTAAATATTTGCTTCTGAATTCTATTTAGCTACTGCCTTAGGGGTTTGTTTTCCCCTGAAGTGTTTGAGAAATAAAAGTTTAATTTTAGCTTTTTTTTTAAGCTCTGTGAAATAGTAACACTTAAATTGAACATACGGCATGCCTTGCACAACCTCAAAAACAAACGAGTTCATTTCAGAGAGGGATGCAAACCTGACTTCCCCTGTCCAAGACACTTTTTAACAAGAGCTAGAAAACATGTAGCACTGAAGGTAAAACTGCATCAACTCTATCAGGTACAGGTTTCTCACACTAAACGAGAGTGGCCACTGCTCATCAGCCCTCAGGTCAGCAGCCTATGGGCTCCTATTCCAGTTCAAATCAAGGCTGATTCTTTTTCACCCCTAAAGGATAAGGAATGAAAACAGTTTTTCAGATTTCTCTGTATATCCAGCCACCTTTCATGGAACAGGCACAACAACTTAGTTAGATTTATTAGCACTATAAACACTCCCAAACAAGATCGCTGTGCTTCGAGTGACTTTAAAAAGCTGCCACCAAGCGCATCTGATCAAACCCGGCATCCTTGTGCAACAAAAACTCCAGCAAAGAGCAAGGAAAAGCAAAACAACAACACGAATATACCCCAGCAAATGCCCTCCAGGAAACTCGTCTGGTTTTTAAATCAAACTTCAGCGCTGCTTTATATTGAGAAGCTCCAGCAAGGGTGATTTACTTATAGTCTGGATGTTGCGGGAGGAACCAGCGGCTGCACGTGTGTGAACTCTGGAATTCTCACCCGAGACGCTCCCGGTCAATTAAAACCAAACAAAACCCGTGAGACTTCTCTTAGTTCTTAGCGTTTCACTTCTCTCTCATTCAATGACAACTCTCCAAAGACAAAGAGCACCAGCCGGACCCCCAAACCCACAGGGAGGGGCCCCCAATCCCAAACTCCTTTAGCTCGGGGTGGGGAGAAACGCCTGGGATTTGTTCTTCCCCGAGTGGAAACTCGCGAAGGTCCCGTTTGCTTTCCTAAGCGCATTACGGGGGATAATTTGGTCCCTCCATCTATTTATTTTTAAAGAGGGCAGCACATCCTTTAAGCCCGGAGGAGCCACGTTCCGTACCACGGGGCACAGCCCCGCCGAGCCCCCCTCCGAGGGATCCCCGACCCGCCGAGGGATGGAGCCTAAGGAGTCCTAGCAACCTAAGGAATATAAGGAGCCCCGGGTCAGTGGCAGTCCCTCAGCCCCCGGGGGCACAGGGGAGAGTCACAAGAGTCACCTGGTGGAGAGCAGCGGGACGAGCCACCTCAGAGACAGCGGGATGAACCCTCCCAGGCTGATCCGCCCTCCCTCAGGCTCCGCGGCGATGGCTGTTCCTGCTGCCTCACGGCGCGGGGGGGAGGCAGGAGGGAAGGTAGAGCGGAGGAGATTCCCGGTCTCCAGCAGCCGGGCGCCGAGGCTGCTTGTCCGCCGGGAGCGGCGCAGCGTTCCCCGTTCGCCCTCGGTGTCCCCGCTCCCCCTCAACACTCACCTGGCGCCCAGTCCGCGCGCGGCGCCACCCCCGCGCTCAATGGCAGCAGGCGGGCCCCTGCCGGGGACGCTGTTTACCCGCCGGCTCTCGCGAGAGCCACGCGCACGCGCGCGCGCGCCCCGCCCGCACCGCGGCGCCGAGCCGCGATTGGGCCGCGCCCCGGCGCGCGCGGCCG